ATTGTCAAAGGACTTACTCATGCCTAAATAACGGAATGTTACAGGGGTCAATGATTGGAGATAACTATCCGAGGAAACAGGGATAGTTCGAGAGAATAATGGAGAACTGAGAACAATTGTGGATGTCCAAACTACTAGAATTCTGAAGTGGAGACTGAGGTACTTGAGGAGCGAGAAAGACAAAGGCTCCTTGTGAGAAGTTTTAAAAAACTAAAAACCGATGTGCTAGGGTAGTACATAAAATTAGAGACCGGACGAATAAGTCGATGGTTGGGTGTGTTACCTTGGTTGAACGAGTGGATAATGACAAGATATTCAATAAGGGACATGAGATTAAAACTCCTAGTACGGGAAATGAAAATGATCCTACTGAAGTAGTAGAGACTTCTGGCTCCACCAATTACTACGCTAGTGACTTAGTCTACTTTAATGGTTTTGTCGAAATTAGTCAGGGTGATACTCATTCAAAGGCCAATGCATTTTGTATTTTGTTTCACTATGTTTCCTATCTTTTTTAGGCAATTAAACGTTACTCATGAGATGCTTAACTTTGTTATTTTATGATTTCAAATCTATGATTGGGTTGCACACATCTGCGACTATTCCGGTGTCTTCCCCTTTATTTTCATTTTGCATGATTAAAGTGTCATTTTTCAAATTTTGTTTATGCACACTCATTTTATGTCATGCTTTTATAAATGTTAAAATTACGAGCAACCAAAGGAGTGAAAGGAACCGAGGGCGAGGGGTTAAGCAATCCCAAACTCAAGGGCATGTTTAGGGAACGGCAATTGGACCGATCCAAAACCCTAGAAATGAAGAAAAACAATCACGTAGTTGCTGCTATTGACCATATGATTGATGTCCTAGCACGATTAGTTGGGCATTAAAGATCTAAACCAACCAACTTGGTGACCAAGAAAGGTGTGAGGAATTGAGCAATTCTTGAAGTTCGTCAATCTAAGCTCACGGAAAATCTAACCTCGAAATATTGAGATTGATTTGAGAGGATACAATAAGGCACTAGTGAGAACAAGAGATTATGATTTCTTTTCGAATAACCTTGTAGATAAGTATTGAAGAGTGAACTAGGACATGGAATTTTTATATTAAGGAATAAGGTCCCTTATCTTGTTATGTTTGTAATTCATGATAGTAATCTCGTGAAGACTTAAGAGCTCGCCCGTATTAAGTAGAGAATAGTTAAGATTGATGTGATTCCGGGAGTAGCACCTATCTCTAAGACTCCATATAGAATGGCTCCAACTGAACTAAAAGAGTTAAAATTGCAATTGCAGGACTTGTTGGAACGGGGTTTTGTAAATGGAAGTAATTCACCATGGGGAGCCCAGTCTTATTTGTTAAGAAAAAAGATGGGAGTTTGAGGTTGTGTATAGATTACCGAGGCTTGAATGATGTCACTATTAAGAATAAGTACCCGTTGCCCCACATTGATGAATTATTTGACCAATTGCAAGGGGCAGGAGTATGCTCAAAGTTAGATTTGAGACAGGGTTATTATCAATTGAGGTTTTGGAGAAGGGTATATCCAAGACTGCTTTTAACTCGAGATATGGACACTTTAAATTTGTCGTGATGCCGTTTCGATTAATGAATGCAGCTGCTGTTTTTATGGATTTGATGCACAGGATTTTTAGGCATTATCTGGACCAATTTGTGGTGGTATTTATTGATGATATTTTGGTGTATTCTAAGAATGTGGAGGATCACGAGAAACACTTGAGAATTATTTTGCAAACTCTGAGGGAACACCAATTGTATGCTAAGTTTAGCAAGTGTGAGTTTTGATTGAAAGAAGTGACTTTCTTGGGACACATAATTTCTAAAGATGGGATAAAAGTGGATCCAGTTAAAGTTGAAACTGTTTCAAAGTGAAAACGACCGGAAAACTCTACTGAGATTCGAAATTTTATAGGGTTAGCAGGATATTACCGGAGGTTTATCCAGGTTTTTTTTAGAATTGCTGGACCTATGACTGAATTGACCGAGAAAAGTGGGAAGTTTATATGGAGTCCTAAGTGTGAGGAGAGTTTCCAAGAGTTAAAGAGACGTTTAACAAGAGCACCTGTGTTAACTCTACCAAATGGAAAAGACAACTTTGTGGTCTATACAGATGCTTCTAAGGAAGGCTTGAGATGTGCTTTAATGCAAAATGAGAAAGTGATAGCATATGCATCTAGAAAGTTGAAACCACATGAAGGAAACTACCGGACTCATGATTTGGAGTTGGCAGCTGTAGTGTTTGCTTTAAAAAAGTGGAGACATTATTTGTATGGAATAATATTTGAGGTTTTTACTGACTACAAAAGTTTTAAATATTTGTTTTCTCAAAAGGAGCGGAATTTAAGGCAACGTAGGTGGATGGAATTTCTGGAACATTATGATTGCACGATAAAGTACTATCCAGAGAAGGCCAATGTAGTGGCTGATGCTCTAAGTCACCAAGTACAAGTAAGCTGTGGAAGGTAAAGTAAAAAGCTTGCAAGAACGCTTACGGGGAAGTGATTTATATGGTCAAAATCTAAGACAACATGAAGAGCGAGTATACATGCAAGATGAAAACGATATTTAAGAGATTCAACCACCTCTCACTGCTGAAACTTTAAAGAAGAAAAAAAAATTGTTCAACAGCATGAAAAAGGAAAAACAATAGGAATTTTTTTTATGCCAAGAGCTATTCTAGAAGATCAACCATCCATCAAAAGCATGATACAGGGCAAAGAATCCAAAAAAAAAAAGCTTGATCTTGACAGTTGTGAAGTGGATAATTAATGCTTGCATCCCATTCAATGTAGTAAACTCTACATATTACTAGACAATATTTGATACTGCTTGTTTTTTTAGAGCAGGTTACAGAGCTCCTAATTTTTATGTCTTGGGTGACTATTTATTGACAAAAAATGTTGAGCAAGTTAAGAAGTTTGTTAATAGCTTTTGCACAAATTGGAAAGAAGTTGGATGCATTATCATGCATTTTTTAAATCAGTTCATTACTGCAAATCAGTTGATGCCGCAGATGCTTCAAAAACTGCAAAGATGCTACATAAGCTGTGTTAGAGAAGTGGTTTTATTTGTGGGGGTGGAAAGTGTGGTACGTTTTATCATTGACAATGTTGCCAATTATTGGTTTCCATGTGCTACTCATTGCCTAAATTTGATGTTGCATGATATAGGCAAGTTGGTTGCATGATATAGGCAAGTTAGATGAGGTGAGTAAAGTGGTTGGACATGCTTCTAAGATAACAAAATACATATGTAATCATTGTTGTCCATTGCATTTGATGAGAAAACACACTAGGGGAAAAAAAATTATTCAACCTGCTCCTACAAATTCTATGTTCTGAAAAGAATGTGCTACAATAGTTTAATTAATCAAGCCACTTGTACAAGTTCTATTGTTAATAGTGATGAAAACCTGCTATAGTGTACTTGTATGCTCCCATGCATAGAGTTAGACAAGAGCTTTTGACAAGATTCTCAAGAAGAAATAAAATAGTCGATCCTTACTTGAGAATAATTGATTCAAGATGAGATAGTTAGTTTCACAAAAATTTTCATTCTGTTGGTTTTTGACTCAATCCTTCTTATCAATATAATTCGATTGAAATGGAAAAGCACAGGCACATGACATTAGGACTTTTTGATGCGATTGTCAGATGCTCTTATGAAAATCATGGTCTAATGAGTAATCTGACAAGAGAGATGAAATTATTTCGTAAAATTGAAGGTGATATCAGTAGAGTATCTGCCCTGCGAGATTATGATGTCATGCTTCCAAGTACACAGAAATTAACTTCATTTTTATTGATGATTTGATTTTAATTGTATAATACTATGATCTGATTTTTTTTTTTTATTTCAATAGATGAATGGTGGACATGTTATGGTAGTACTGCACCTAATTTGTAAAACTAGCTATACATGTTCTCAACCAAACTTGCAGTGCTTCTGCTTGTGAAAGGAATTAAAGTTTGTTTGAGCATATCCACTCCAAGAAGAGAAATAGATTGGAGTATCAAAAACTAAATGATTTAATTTATGCACACTACAATTTAAGACTGCAGCAAGGGTAAACTAATTTTTGCAATCTAATTTTTGTTTTAGTAGGATAGTATTTGTTATTTAACTAGTTTTAATGTTTTGTATTATTAGAAATGCAAGGCATCGAAATTATGATCCTATTGATTTTGAGGACTTCAACACCAATGAAACTTGGATTTGGACTACAAACTTTCACAGTTGACATCAATTGAATTAGAAAGTTTTAGGAATGAAATAGCTGCATTTGCTATCAGCCGACAAAGTGGTGAGCTATTCTATTTGAGCTATATGCTTGCTTAAGCTTTCTATTTCGTTTTTTGCTAAATACAATCTAAATTGAGTGCATGGTTCATTAGTTTCTGTTACTTATATAGATGAAACTCCAAATTTGGATGAATTAGACATTAGAGATGAAGATAATATTGGAAGAAATCATCTTAATGCAAGCTACGGTGCATCCAATTTTGGTGATGCCAATGAACTTGGCGGTACTAAATTTGGTAGAAGTTGGGAACCATTGGCATAAGTAATAGATGCAGTGAACAATTGAAGCGATAAATTGTGGTGTTATTTATGTTTATCATTTTATGACTTTATGTTCGGTTGTACTAAATTGATTGTTCGTGACTTAGGTTTGGTGGTTTGATACTTATATTTATCATTTGTGTTTGTGTGTAATATCAATATAAATTCATGAACTAAATACCATATATGATTATGGCTTGTGTGTATAATGTACAAATAGGTTATGGTTTATTAAGATTTAAGAATTTCCGTGCTTATTATAATTTATATATTTATTTAATTATATTATATATATTTTTTATTTTATAGTGTGAGTTGAAATAGTGAATTACACCTGAACTGCCAACTCACCAATCCGGTCCTCTGCCAGGTTGATGTCCGGTTGGTTTTAATAACTACCAATTTGGCGTCGAATAGTTCAAAAGTTGTGTTTGCAAATTGCAACTGGTATGTTTGTTATAGGGTTTTCTGCATTTTCCCCAATCTCATCACAAAGTAACCGGTTCAGACCGATTGAGAAATTCTTCCTATATTTTTGTGCAACTGAAAGCCCACACCACTAGTCTTAAAAGACCTGCTGGTGGCAAAATTCAATAGCAGGGAGAAAATGCTGCTGGAACTTCCGCGGTTAACGAATTCTCTCCGCGATCCTTTTGATGTTGATCAAGCGTATCTTCATCGCAAAACCATCCTCCAAAACCTCAAACCTCCCAGGTTCTCCCATCCAACTTTCCAATTTTAGGATTCTTTTGGTAATTTTTTAACTCGATTTTTTGGTAATGCAATATGCACTTTTTTTTTTTTAGTTCTGCCAATTCAGTTCAAGAATCGCAACTCGCTCGGAAGATTGTATATAGATGGGATGATGGTATTGTAGAAATTTTTATATTGTTGTATAGAGTTCAGTTAATTAGTTTTACAGGTTTCATTTTTTGATTTTTTAAAATAATTTTAACAGCGTCTAATGAAGTGCGGCAAGTGTACAAACAATTTATTGGAGCGGTGGTGGAGTTGATGGGCGGCGAAGTGGTGTCAGAGGAGTTTCAGGAGGTGGCTCTGAGTGTATATAAGCTTTTTTGTACCCAATTGGAGGATGTGGAAGATGATCAAGTGGATAAGATTATTGCTGAGAAGAAGTAAGGAAGAGAAGTTTTATTGATTACAAACAATTTTTTTTTGTGATAGCATTTGCCCCCTTGAATCTTGATCATTGAATTTGTTGGCAGTTCTTTCACAAAATTTCTTAAGAGGTTCACTAGTCATGTTACATAATTTACTTGAGAGTGTTATGGAGTTGCAACATTAGAGGCATGCGCAAAGTTTGGTTAACTATTCTATTGTGGACCTTCTGTCTAGTCTCTGTACCTGGTGGTCATCTAATGTTTGTTAAAGGAAGACTTTGAACCTCTCTTGGCTATTTACGTAGTTCCAGTGTTATTGGTAATTTTTTCTTTATCTGTTTTGTATTCCTTTCCCTATGAACATTAAAGGGCTGAATAAATTTGGCATGTGGCTATTCTATATGAATGGGAACTATGATTGGTTGCACTTTGCAGGAAGACATGTTAGGCTATCCTACAATACATTTTCTTCTTTGAATAATATCTGCAATTGCTGATCGGATAAATATATGCTTAGAAGGACAGAGGGCATGCATACTTAGTTGATATTGGTGTAAACATGTTTTTGCTTGGTAATGGCTAGAAATTCGATGGCCTAAGTATACTAGTGTATTAATAAAAGCTGTTTAACTGTATATGGGTTGAATACGATGTTAAAGTTTTTGGCTTTGAAAAAATTCATGGATTTTTTCTATACGTTCCAGATTAGATTTGCAAAAGCTGTTCGGTTATGAAGTTCCTCTTTTAAAGCTGCAAAGAGTACTCTCTTTAGTGAAGAGGCTTTTGGAGTTGCAGAAGAAGGATGATGGAACTGTGTATATACCAGAAGGGCAAGATGAGAGTGCTGATGATATGGAATTTGGTGCAGATCTGGTTTTTCGAGCCCCCACACGGTTTCTAGTTGATGTTGTCTTGGAGGACAGTGATCTGTTTATTGAGGAGGCCACTGAAATTCCAAATCATGGTGCATGGTATGAGCTTGGTGACTCAGCAACTTACATTCCTTCTGCAAGTGGAGGAAACTTTGACTTAGAGTGGTTAAGGGATGCTTGTGATAAGATAGTTAGTGAAAGTATTTCGCAGCTACCTCGAGATGAACTGGCAATGGCAATTTGCCGAGTACTTGATTCAGAGAAACCAGGTGACGAGGTGAGTGGCTATGTGCTTCATTGTTGTCCAAGATCCTTTTTCTGGGATTTTGATTTCATAAAATAACACAAGTTCTTATATCATTTACCATTTTATTTTCAAGATAGCTGGAGACTTGCTGGATCTTGTTGGTGATAGTGCATTTGAAATTGTTCAAGATCTCATCATGGTATGTATAAGAATGTCACATAAAAGTTGGTGTGCTATTTTGCGCGATGATTTGGTTAGTTGTTCTGCTCATGATGAATTGTTCATGTGTCAATGGTCTAATCACCAGAAATAAACAGTTTGTATAGGATTTCATACTTTTTGCATGAAACTGATGATAACTTACATATTTGAAACCTCAGTTGGAACCAATCTGTTGAAAGAAAGCGCCCATTCATCCAACTCATAAGTCTACCTTTCTTTTTGGTGGGTTTCAAATGATTCACCAGTTGGTGGTTAGATTCATTTAAAATGGGTAAATAGGATAAAAATGATGAAGCCATTTTTTCTGTAACTTCGTAGGACACCTAGATGTAATTAAGTCACACAGGAATAAGCGGAATGAGTAGCAGTAGAGAGAGAATGAAAGTTCTGGTGGCTTCTCTGCACTTGTGAGTGCATATCATGGTTTGTGAAAGTTGACGGCATCTGTGCTTTTTACATCTCAATCATTTCTAAAGATAGAGGCGGCATTTTGTATGTTTCATTTCATTTTGACTTTTGATGCTTTCTCATGTCTAATATACTTTTAAGGGAAAATTTGGCCATTTGAGTTGTGCAATTTCGGAATAGAAGAAGCCTCAATGAACACTGGCAACACCTATAATGGCCCTAATATAGCAAAATTCCTTGTCGGGTAAGTTCTGAATGAGGAACGCTGCTCATTAGTAGTGAATATTTTGAAGCTTGGAGCAAATGGAGCTGAGTTTAGTTGCCCTCAGTTTTGGTGTATTTTGGTTACTTTTAATGGTTTTGGTGGCCAAAATGGATCTATGTGGAAAACAGAGTAAAACTTGCTTAGAGTATCTAGATGAGATGACCATAGTGTCACCTGCAGTGTGACGTGCAGCTGAGTTGGTGGGGGAACTTAGGGAAGGAGGAGAATAAAAGAAAAAGGAACAGGGGTGTAAAAAACAAGAAAAAAAAATAAAAAAGAATATTGATTTGGAAACTGATGCTTAAATAAGGACTTACCAGATTGAAATGGGAATTGTCTTAAATATATTCAGACTCTTTGCCATCATATTTACATTTCCGTTCTGAATCAAATAGCCTGCCTTGCATTTGCTGTTGAGGTTGGATATGCCACCAGGTTTGAGGTTGATTGTAAATTCCAAGTAGATCATGAGGCACTTCTGCATAATTTTAGCAAATTACTGCACAATTGACCAAAACGGGCTAGAATACGGGGCAGAAACCCATTTCACTGATTATCCACCAGATTCAATGCTTGTTTCTTTTGTGGTTAACCCCACAGCAATCTTTTCTTTACTAATTTATTCTGAAACTTTTCCTCAAGAGTGAGAGAGCTCGAATTTTATACCTAATTGCATACAATACCATTAGAAATTTTGAACATGCAATCTTGTTAGATTATTGACTACTTGGAATATTTAATTGATTGCTTTATACTTAAGTGTATTAGAATATTTTAAATTCATGCATGATTCACATTCATGGAATTTAATATGAATTATGTGAGAACCCAAAAAATTAGGTTGTATTTATTTATTTCTTTGAATGCATTTTCTTTACTTTAAATAATTGCCTTAATTTCCTCAATATTTTTATAAGGGAGTCAAGTTTTTAAATCATTTTCTTGGTGTAAGTTAGTTCATGTTAAGTTTGAAGTGTATTATGAATGTGGGACCCGCTAGTACAGTAAGTGCGATAAATTTTTGATGACTAGGTAAAGTTTTGCATAAAGGGACATTAGTTTATAATGTGCTAAGGGATAATTGAAGGTTAGCTAGATAGATTAACCTTTGGTAAACAAAGAGATAAGATTAAACTCTAGGAGCGCCAACTGTCACGAAACTATTGGGAGTTGGACTTTGACTTGGACTTTTCTTAACCTTTACTAAAACCAAATTTGACCCAAAAATTCTTCATTTTGCTCCTTGCTTGGCCGGCCATATGGAGAGGAAAAACAAGAGAGCAAAGTTCTTCTTCAATCCCAACTTCATGTTTGAATCTTGAGTTTCAATCCACAAGCTTGCAAAATACTCCATAAAAGTGGTTCATTAGGGAAGATTAAGAGCCTGAGTGGAGAGATTGTTGGAGGAAAAGTACTAAGCTTCCATCTTTCTTGGAGGTACAAGGTAACTTTAGCAATAAACTTTCTTTTACTTCAAATATATGCAAACTAGTGGTTTAGGGTTTCAATTTCGGTAATTTCATGAGAAAATTTCATGGTTTGAAGTTGTGATGTGAAATTTTCAGTTTTTATGGTAATTTTCTGCCCACATATGATGCTTAAGTGTTGTCCATGGTTTGGTAGCTTTGCTATGTGAAATATCTAGCTTTTATATGCTAGTTTGACTTGCCTAAAGAAAATTCCGGCTTGTGATTATGAAATTCAGCTTAGGGTTTCATTTTCTAACTTGAATAGGTGATGGTTATATGCTATATATTTTTTTTATTTAGTGAATTGTTGGCTTGGTATGTATATACTTGAGTTGAGGTTGTTTTGTGGTAAGAATAAAGCCTTGAATTGGCTGGAAAAATTAGTAAACACAAAGGAAGTGCTGCTGAAAATTTGTTCGCAGGGAACCTTGGGCAGTATTAGGAAATCTGTTATATCTTGGTGTAGAAAAATCGGAATTGAGTTCCATTTATTGCGTTTGAAATTAGATTCAGAGTACTTTCTACCGTACAAATTTCATAACTTTTCTTAATTTCTATGAATATCTGTGATTTTTCAAAGTTGACTGATTTTCCATACCGATTCTGTCTTTTAACTGGATGAAGCAGCAACTTGAGGCTGGAATTTGACTAACTTGTGGACTGAATCTTGCAAATATGTCTTCTGGAAATTGTAACCCTTTGAATCTATTTTCTGATGATATAAAGTTTATCAAATTTGGACTTAAGAAGCTTAAAATATGATTTTACAAATAGTGTTGCACAAAGCTAAGAAATTCTATTCTCTTAGAACCGTCTTTACTTTCATTTCCCACTTTAAGTTTGGAATTGGTAAATCATTTTGGGTATGGTTTATGAGTGGAATTGAGGTTTATGTGAAAGGAAAAGAAGTCTTGGAAACATTAATTTCTTCATGTATTTTGGCTCGGTATTGCAAGTCTTTTGATGTAGTATACGACCATGGGACTCGAGTGAGTTCAAGAGGACGAACCATGGTTAAAGTGAAAGGCGGTAATTGATTGGTGAGTGTTCCAAGTACATGAAAATATTTACATGGAATGTCTCCTTGCTTGAATGACATGCTTACTTGGTTAAAGTAATTGCTCTTGAATTGATAACCTTTGGGACGAGGATGTACTTTATCATACTCGATCCTTTGTAGTTCACTTCGTGATATTGATATGAAATGGAGAGCTTTGCTTGCACTTGACTTGTTGGTCACTCGGGTGGTTATCCCACCGACTTACATGTTACATGCTCATTGTTGTTAGACAATCCTAGATACTTGATTTCTCGTCTCATAGGCAAGTGGGTACTTTATCGCACTCGACTCAATTTGTAAGATTTTGTTAAAACATGTGTTAACTGTTTTATTACAACTGAAAAGTGGCCAGAATCTGCCCACTTTTTGGCCAGATTTTCGGCCGGATTTGAGGCAGTGGGCTTCAAATTTTTTTTAGTTTCCCCTATCAACCCGGCCTTGAATCTGGCCAATATCTGGTCGGATTTGTTGAGAAAATTTCTGATTTCAACAGCTTTCTTCCAGTTTTCTTGTTTGATCAAGGTTCTTAATCACCTGATTTTCAATTTTTTGGACTTAAAATACTTGAAATGCTTGAAACATGATATACTGAGCTTAATTATGACTTGAACCTGTTTAGGCAAGTGTGCTCTTATGTACACTCAAATGACCTGACTTGACTAAACATTTGATATCTCATTTACGAATGAGCCAGTAATATAATTTGTATATGACATGTATATTGACTTGAAATACTTAAAATACTTGAGAATGTGAATTGCTGGACATTATTTGTAACTTGATTCTGACTAGGCGAGAGTGTCCTTATCGTACTCGGCCTCTCCTTCTTGAATGATCTTGTACTCGTTTGAACTTGATTGACCTGTACTTGTGTTTGTACTTGTGCTTGACTTGCAAGTGTTGAGCGGTCACATGTACCACACTCCATCCGAGTGGGAGGTGCCTCTTATCCCGTCTTAGTGCTTTTATCCTGATTAAGTCGATTGGAGAGTTATCTCGTCGACACTAGTGCTGAGCGGTCGCATGTACCACACTCCATCCGAGTGGGAGGTGTCTCTCATCCCGTCTCAGTACCTCTATCCTATTTTGTCGACAACAGTGCTATCTTCTCGACTAATTGGTATGCTCAAATATTACCACCACTGTTTATTTCTGAATACGGAGCGTTAAGTGACAACTAACGTCTATAATCTTTACTGTGTGAGCATTGGATAACAACCAATGACTTCAATCTTGATTATCTGAATACTTGGGGTTATAAGCCATATCCTGAATTACTAAATATCTGGAACTCCAAGTCTAACATAGGGTTAGTTGGTCGAATCGAATCAACAAGGACTTGGTCGAGGAGATCGACAAATCTTGGTACTTCTTGATCGGTGGATGGAAATTGGTATAAAGTGGAGATCTACGGACGTTATACTTTCGTGGCTGACAGAGAGTCAACGGACATTGATCAAGCTACTGTGGAACTTGCTCCTGAGAGTAACCTGTATCCTTTGCCATGAATGTGTTCTTTACTATACCGTTTTGCATGATTTATCTAGCTACTTGCTTAACTATATCCTGTGTCATGATCATTTGAATTTGACTTGTTTCTTAATGTCTGGGTATGCTATCATGTTTCTTATTTTGCCTGTTTTGTAACTTGGAACCTTATTGGGCTTTTAGCTCATTCCACGCCATTTATTTTCTTTACAGGGATGAGAACATGAGAGATTGAATTGAGGAAGGCCTTGATTTCTTTTAAGTTGGTTAGTGGCTCGTGTGAGCAC